GAAAGAGTGGTGGTTATACAGTTATTCAGATTCAGTCTGACCCAGCCGGATGTTGAGGGTGTTTTGCCCAGAAAGCTGCTCCTTGCTGGATAATCTTCCACACAAAGCAGTGGAAACGCCGCTTTCCGAAGTCCTCTGAAGCATTTGGGTCAAAATCTGGAGGATATGCAAAACAATCTTCTTTGGGCCCCTCGGAGGGAAGCGGGATGGGTGGGTGAAGCAGTTTTCATTCTGATTTCTGTGGCCAAGACTGGTGTGTGTGTGTCACTCCTTGCACAGGTTATCCCAACCCCTTTTGATTTGTTTTCCTCTTTCTGTCCCGCAGTTGTCCCTTCCATTTACACCATTTACATGGGAAAAGACAAGTACGAAAGTAAGTACATGAATGTAATGATGCTGAATGGCTTGATTTAGATTTGTGGGGGTTTAAGATGGTTTCGAAAAGATGTCTTTGTATGTGTTAACTTGAAATATTCTTTAAAAACTTGTCAACCCTTGCAAGAGATTCTGATTTACCCCTGATTTTTTTTTTCTGATTTACCCCTGATTTTTAGTGGATTTCAGAATCCACTGTGTTACTTTCAGTTAGGATACATAAATTTTGTAAATTCTCTAGGCAGAGTAACTGCCTTCAAATACAAGTGAAAACTGAATTAACTGGAAATAATCTTTCTAGAGAAAAGTGCTGTTTTTCAGGTTGTCTGCTAACTATTTGCAAATCAGCCTTCCATTTCTCTGCTCAGTCTGTGTTTCTCCAGTGAGCATTCGTACTCCGTAGGTTTCCCAACCTTTCCCTCAAAGTGGAGGGTTCCTACGGTTCCGCTGTGCCTCGCGGTTCCACAGCAGTCGTTGGTGTCTCACTCCAAGGGCAAAATGTTAGTGTGGCTGTTCTGAGGCCTTGCCCTGAAAGTCTCCTCCTCATTAGACTGATATTTCACAGAATCACAGAATGGTGGGGGTTGGCAGGGACCTCTGTGGGTCACCCAGTCCAACCCCCTGCCCAAGCAGGGTCACCCAGAGCAGGGGGCACAGCACCGCGGCCAGGCGGGGCTGGAATATCTCCAGAGAAGGAGACTCCACAGCCCCTCTGGGCAGCCTGGGCCAGGGCTCCG